GTACCGAATTTCGTTGAAATCGGTTGAGTAGTTCCTGAGATATGGCTTTTGGTCCATAAGTGGGCGACGCCACGCCCATTCTCAATTTTTTAAAAAAAAGCCTGCGTGCAGCTTCCTTCTGTAATTCCTTCCGTAAAATTTAGTGTTTCTGACGTTTTTTGATAGTCGGTTAACGCACTATTAGTGATTTTCAACATAACCTTTGTATGGGAGGTGGGCGTGGTTATTATCCGATTTCTTTCATTTTTGAACTGTATATGGAAACGGGCCCATATGGGGCGGGCCCACTCCCACTTTTCCAAAAAAATTACGTCCAAATATGCTTCTCCCTAATGCGATGCTTTGTGCCAAATTTCACTTTACTATCTTTATTTATGGTTTAGTTATGACACTTTATAAGTTTTCGGTTTTCGCCATTTTGTGGGCGTGGCAGTGGGCCGATTTTGCCCATCTTCGAACTTAACCTTCTTAACCTTCTTACCGTGTACCAAGTTTCATCATGATATCTCAATTTTTACTCAAGTTACAGCTTGCATGGACGGACAGACAGACATCCGGATTTCGACTCTACTCGTCACCCTGATAACTTTGGTATATATAACCTTATATCTGACTCCTTTAGTTTTAGGACTTACAGACAACCGTTATGTGAACAAAACTATAATACTCTCTTTAGCAACTTTGTTGCGAGAGTATAAAAAGGTGAACTTGTAACTGGGGTGCTGGATTTCATATAAAAGTTGGTAACGCCAATCCAAGTGTATAATTTTTATACGGATTCGTATGCAACAATACCCTACAAATATTATGGTAAAATTTAGCGAATGTGAAGTTTTCTTATTGGACGTGCTTATTATCGAATTTCCACCATATCAAGAAATGCTAAGGCTATTTATACTGACATATGTATGTTCACACAAACGTAATTTTAGACCAGTTTATACATTTATATCTTTAAAATGCGTAGTTTTGTAAATGTCGCTTTTAGCTCCAATTTTTACTCATCACAATACACATTATTTATGATACAGTCTTAATCATTTGGAATACAATAATTTTAATGCAAATACATCAGGGTCGAATTCAGAAATAATTTTTGGGGGAGAAAATAAATATTTACTTGAAATATGAAGATTATTACATTGAAAATATGGAGGATGAAGCCATGTGCGGAAGTTCACGCAAGTGAGGAAAGTTCTATAATTGCCATTCATTTGGGAGTGGCCAGAAATGAATGAGAGGCGAAACATCGCCTCCACACGGTTGTGCGCTGGATTTGGGACCCGCTACGTAAAACACACTACCGATGAAAAGAAAAAGAAACAGATATGGATGGGAAACCTACCTTTTGATGACGACCGATGCAAATTTGCTAAGGATCACGATTTAAGGATATGCACCTGGATTGTAGTGTCCCTTAATAGGGAAGGTGCCGCTACCCAGCTGGTTGATGCCCTCGTTAGAGTGAAGTCTGACATCATCGCCATGCGATGGACGGTACAAGGACTGAAGCGAGTAGGTCCATGCGTCATTTACTATAGTCTCCAGTGTTTTAAACATGAGTACGCTACGCACCCGGCTCTGTGCAGCAAAAAACGCACGTCAGCAAACACAAGGAAGGTTCGACGTCGAGAAGCTGCAATCACAACAATTTTCTACTCGAATTGCACTCCTGTTCTCTGAGAGCACTTATCAGCAACTCCGTAGTAGGGAACTGTGGGACGGCTTTTCAAGCTCTTTACGTACAGCTGCAAACGAAACCATTGGCTTATTGGCTTTCAAAAAATGCAAAAGAACAGATGGTATGATGAAGACTTCCTTGTCGCAAAACAGACTGCCTACCACACAATTTTACGATGGATCACAATACGTGTGGGATGAGATATATACCGACAACTGAAGAGTGAAGCAAGACGAATTTGCAGACAGAGGCCGAAATGCGTGAGTATGAAGAGCCGTTGTGTTTTGACTTAAGTTCACCTTAACACTTCAACAGTCACACGCTGTTGTCATTATCCAAACGATCTTTGCATCTATCTATCAAGCAGTGAATAATGTTTGTTTAGTTTTTAAAGCACATTCTTTTACTGGACGCAGGAAACTCAGTTTAAATACATCCGAATTTCGGGATTATATTTCTATTACTTTCCTAGAAAAGCGCGTTTTTAAGTCTTCGCCGATTGCATCCTACAGAGAATTGTACACTGAGACCCTGTAGTATTTTTCGCACGTTCACACGCAGAAATTTTCGTATTTTATTTGTTGGCCACAGATTCTTGGTTTTTCTGCGTTAACTTTCAGTTCTACCGCCATATTTTTCGTGTCTGAATAAATGGATCGAAAATGTTCCTCAGCTTTTTGTCTTCGATTTCGGAACGTTACGAGCAGCGTATCTATCATGTTTGATGCTTTTGCCACATCGTTCGATTCTTTCTGAAGAATCACGTTGAGTGAATGAGTTAGATGTGGAATATCACATTGCCAAAAAATCGCAAGTCTAAATTTAAATTTACACACGGCTGTGGTGAGCATCGTTGCTTTCCTCGCTGTTTCCTAATTTTTTCCAGCTACTAATTTTTCTATGTTCGAAAACTTGGAAAATAAATCGCGGATAATGTATCAGTAGTACATATCACAGATGGAGCTGAATGCAACATCTCTTCAAGATCTCTGTCAAGCCGCGGCGCTTCAAATTTAGCACTTTCAGTTACGGATCTGATTGGATTTATTAAAAATTTAATCTACATACGTTTCTACACTTTGTAACTTCAGTGGTTTCTGAGTATTATTTATTATATTCAAAAATGGGACAGTCTTTAACTTTGTTTTTGAAATAGTATAGCGTATTTCTGGATTATGTTTCTGTAATTTTTTTTAGAACAGTAAAGTTACTAATATGCCAATATAATAATATAATGGGAAAATGTCCCCTCCTCCCTCTGTGTACATATGAATATGCAGGGATACTTACATACATATACTTATGCATACTCTAATACATCTATAATACATTTAAAGTTCAAGGAATATATGTATGTAGCTGGTATAAAAAGCATATACATACATATATGTATAAAAGGAAGTACGAGTTTGTACAATATGCTGATATTCCTAAGGTACGAGTAAGTATATATACATATTTATAGCATGCGCATAACAAATGTCTGCAATATCTGATAAAATGTGTGCGTCTATTTCTGTACAGAAAATTTAAAAGCATCGTTTGAGAAAAGAAAGCACAAAATAGTTTAAGGTACAATTCAAGAAAGTACAATATCGAGGTTGGGGTGTGTGCTAAGAATATTCAATAGCCAAATCTAAATTAAACTGCAGTGCAACCAAAGCTAAATTTTTTTTTTATACTTCGTAACATGTTGCTACACAGTATAATATTTTGTTCACCTATCGGATCCTTTTTTGTCACTTAACAGATGTAGAGTTATAAAGATATCAAACTTTATAATGCCGGAATTACATGTGCAGATATTCTGCATGCAGATCTGCACTATTTTTTCCAGCCAAAACAAATGTGCAGTAAATTTTGACAATCAGCTGATTGCAATAAATAATTGAAATTGAAATTTAAAAATTGTAAAATGGAAGTGGAAAGAAAAAAAAGATTGCAACAATTGCTTTTACTTCTAATTGCCAAAAAGAAATTAATTAATATTTTAAGCTCGTGCGCGATAAGTGATAAAAAACACGGGTGTGGACGATTCCTATATATGCGGAAAATGAGAGAGAGCTGCATGGTTTTTTCAATAATTTATTCATCTATATAAAAAACAATGATTCCTCTCAGTTCCAAAAGGCTACTCGGATGCAAGTGGATCAATTTAAGCTTCTTCTAAGCTTAATTAAAAGGCGTATAGCAAAACAGTTTCATATATGTCGTCCAATACCAGCAGAATGTCGCCTAGCAATAACATTGGTATATGTACATTTTGTTTGTAAATTTTATAATAAATAAATACATATGTTCATCAACTCTTACAATAGATATTTGGCCCATGGAGTTTGCCGCCAGAGGTTGGATTGGGCTTTTCGTGTAGGAGTATCAACAATTGGCAAAATTTAATTGGAAACATCCGCAGCCATTTGGGATGAACTTTCAGGAATATACTTGGCGCAA